TGTCTCACTGATGAAGTGGTGGCTCAGCTTTTTTAGGGCCTCCCAACCTCAACATTCAAATTCACTTTCAGTTTCTCTGAGAACAGTCTTTTTTTAGGGCACAGCGATTAGAACCCAATACCCACAGCTGGGAGAAATTAAAAATATTCCCTGCTCTGGGGCTGTTTTGTTCCAGCACAAGGAAGGTCACACAGCTGGGCCTCTGCCTGTTCCCACCACAGCTCACCCTGCAGATAAGGGAGAGCAAATTAAATAAAGGCCCACTCTGACTCCAGGCCAAGTTTTCTTTCTCCAAAGGTTTAAACCCCCACATTTTGGGTTAATTTGGAGGCAGGAAAGCTCCAGCTGGTGCCTATCAAAGGGGCTCAGCTGAGCTGCACGTTATCAGCCCCCCAAATTTATCTGCAGCAGAAGAGGCCCTTCCCTATCCTGCCCTGACAGACACACACCCCAGAGCGTGAGGGAATTCGGGTCCCACATTCCACAGGCTGCACTCCAGCCCTGGAATTAAGGATCCTGATGAAGTGCTGCAGTAACACAACCTTTTACAAGTGCTCGAGGGCTGCAGGTCAAGGATCCAACCTCTTATCATCCTCTGCCTGCTCCTTTCCAGGTGCTGGGCAGCACCTTCTGGAGCCTCCTCTGCTTGCCCAGCACCAGGAACTGCTCCCACTTTTCAGAGCCTCAGGAAGCCAAAGTCACTTCACCGCATTTACAAACACTTCAGAATTACAGGATCGTGGGTTGGGGTTGGAAGGACCTTAAAGCCCATCCAGTGCCACCCCCTGCCGTGGGCAGGGACACCTCCCACTGTCCCAAGGTGCTCCAAGCCCCGTCCAACCTGGCCTTGGACATTTCCAGGGATCCAGGGGCAGCCACAGCTTCCCTGGGAAATCCATCCCAGCCCCTGCCCACCCTCCCAGCCAAGAATTCCTCCCAGAATCCAACCTAAACCTACTTTCAGTTTGACACCTCAGGATTTGCAGCCACGAGTGTCACACACTCTGTGGGACAGCCTGGCCTTGTCCCTCTGAGACACCCCTGAGTGCCACCCACCCCCGAGTGCCACCCCCCCCTGAGCTCCCAGTGCCACCCCCCTGAGCTCCCGGGGTCCCTGCAGGAGGGACAGGGGCACAGGGCCCGTGTGGGGCCCAGCAGCCGCCCCTGCAGCCCAGCCCTCCTGGGCCAGTCCCAGGGGAGATTACATTTCTGGCTGTTTGCTGTGGGGAGGAGGGAGACAGAGCTTAGATTTAAAGTCCTGATCAGCTGAGCATGAACGTGGAAGATCAAAGGGTCACTCAGCACACAAGCTAAGCTTTCCCTCATTGTCCTTGAACAAAATTCCTCTCACTCCAAACTGTGGAGTAAAAAAATGCCTGCCTGTCTGCCTCCCACTCTATCCCCAAGAGCCACGGCTGAGTTTCACTGCTGGACAGTTTCTGCACTCCAATGTTTGGAGATGAAAAGCTCTAAAGAGCAGCAAGATAAATAAAACTGCAGTTTATTAAAAGAGCCTCAGAGATTATTCACCAGCCCAGCCAAGCTATTTCACAGTCTGGTCATGCCTGCAGTGAAAACAGTGGGAGTTTTGGGAACAGACACAAGCCCTGCTAAGAGTAAGGAGACATTATGAAATGGAGCTTTTCCCTAAGTCATGGCAAGGCAGGAAGCCTCTCCTACCAGTGTGAATCATCCAGAAAGCAGGAGAGCACTTCAAAGCAATCACCCCTGTCCACTGCCAACCCTGGAACAGGGCATGGAAAGGGACACAGGGAGAGGAGTCACTCAATTATCCCCAAAGCAATTTAAAGCAGGAGCTGCAGCTCCAATCAAACCTGTTCCGTACCTGCTGCTGCATCCTCCTCCTCCTCCCACTGCTGGGACCCCACAGCTTCTCCTGGAAAACACACAGCAGGGACGGAGGGATTATCCTCCTTAGGATCCCTCCCTCACACACAGAAGTTTGATTCCCAGTTTTCTTTGTGATTCCCAGTTTTCTTAGTGCTGATGGCGCTGGGGGAGCCCCCTGTCCAAGGGGCAGGAGCTGGGACTGGAGTGTTCCAAGGGACACACCTGGGGGACACCAGGAACTGGGATTTACGCTGGGAGATCCCACCTGGCTCATCCTAAGGGATGAACTTGTCTCTCCTCCCCCGCACAAAGACATGGATTCAGGAATTAACCAACATCAGAGACTCAGGAGGATTTCCCAGAGTAACATGGGCTGGAAAAATCAGATGTAAAACATGCAATAAAGGAAGAGTATCTTGCTTAGGAGAAGGTGTTAAAGGAAGCTTTATGTTTTTAGGGGAGGCAAAGCCCCTGGTTTCCCAGTTTGCAGCAATGAAAGCTCCAGTTCATGCACCAGCTCCTGCCTGGCAGCTCCCACAGCTCTGCCTCCCTCTCCTCCTCTGAATTCAATGGGAGAAAGTACCAAAAATGGGCCATAGAAACAAAAACTTCACAGAAGGGGCTGGATTTGGCACCAGAAAATATTATCCCCTTACGGGTCCGAGGCTACCCCAAGACAAACTCCCCTCCCAGAAGTGCTGCTGAGCCTTTCCAGAAGGTGGAATTGCAGCATTGGGAAGCACAGGTAACTCTGACTGTGGGTAACAACTGGCACACTGTAATTAGGAAAAACACAGAGGCTGAAGGAAATCACCTACTTGGCTCACCCTGGAGCTCAGGGAGCCAAGAGTTCATATGGGAAGGAGCTTTATTTTGCCGTGAATAATTAGAAAAGCAGGAGTTTCAAAGGAAATCAGCAGTTCCAGCTGGCACAGGAGCCCAGGAACAGCCATTTTGCAGCACTTTCTAACAGGACACGAGTCCCACAGAGCACCAAGAGTGCTCACCCCAAGCTTTAATTATGTTTGCTCCAACTAAGATAATGGTTTTTTCCTAATTAGAGGCATAAACAGGGTTTTTTCCCCCCCTCTAATTAGAGGTATAAAGGCCAGTGACCATATCCCACAATTAAGTGGTGCAAAAGCCACAGCTCCCATTTTGTGATGTCTCCCATTCTCCATCCATCCCACAAGGACAGTTTGCCCTCAGTTTGGTGGCTTTTTGGCTCCCTCAGCATTCAGACTCAGAGCTCACCGGCCTCCCAGGAACCTAAAGGAAGGAGGAAGCTGCCAGTTGGATGGATATTTGATCCTGGAGCGTGTCAGGCCATCCCAACAGTCACTCCATGGACCAAACTGGTTGGATTTCCTCTCCAAATGTTTTGCCCAGCTCTGGCTCTTATTTCCACCTTACTCTTTATCTTAAGGCTCCTTATTTCCAAACACACTCCACCCTCCAGTCTGGGGTGACAGTTGCTTCTCTGTTCCCTTCCTCTGATTCTCACTTTGGATCCACACAGGCACATCCCTAAATTATCCCCCCCCCCAGTGATTAGGGATCACTCTTTAATTAGCAAAGTTAATTCTCTGTACTCACATGCAACCTGTTTTTAACACCCTACAACCTCTTCCTGTGTCCAAGATGTTCCTGCCAGCTGGAAGCTGAGCTCCAAAGGCTGGGAATGGTCACCCAGAGTCGGATGGAGAAGAGCTGCCCATGGAAAGCGCCAAAAAGGATCAGGTTCCACCTTCCCTTCCCACTTCAGGGTCCTCTTGGGTGACAAATGTTTCCTACACCTGGGAGGGTTTGTGTCAGCGGGCTGGGCAATGTGAGCAGAGTTCTCCTTCAGGAGCAGGTTGGACTGACTGGGAAGCGAGGAATTAACTGCAGTGCCAGGCAGTTGGAGAGCTCTGCCTAGACTGGAAGGAATGTATTAAAGGAGCAGACCACAAATCCAAAAAAATAACCCATTTTGGCAGGGACAGGGCGAGGGTGGCACAAAAATATCCTGCCTATCAATAGGCTTTATTCCTGCCAGGGCAAGATGTGCATTTACTGGAGCTGTTTAATAATTAGATTATCCTATGAGACCCAGGGGAGGGAGGGGACCAGGAAGTGGGGCCATAATCAGCTGGAACCAAGTGAAAAACCTCTGCTTTCAGCAAAAATCAGCCTGGATCTTTTCTTTTTTTTCCATCACAATTTAAAAAAAGGAAAGATGTAGGCCAGGCTGGGCTGACCTTGCTCCTGATGCCAGGAAACACAGACTCCACTCTGTGTCTGCTTCCAGAGCCCCAGGGAAGAGCCCAGGGATTCTGCTCAGGGCCCAGGGATTCTGCTCAGGGCCCAGGGATTCTGCTCAGGGCCCAGGGATTCTGCTCAGGGCCATGGAACACCCCAAGCCACCCACCCACAGCTGGTGGTGTCTGCAGACCTGCAGGGCCAGGATTCCCCACTCAGGCATTTGTTTAGGCTCAGCTCAGTGTCCACTCAGCTCTAAAATAAAATAAACCCACCCCTCCCTCCAAACTCATCCTCCTGATGTGCTGCAGCTCAGTAATAGTTTTCTTTAATGCAAAAGTAGAAAATACAAAGTCATTCTGCAGACAAAGCCCCGTTTCAGCAGCACAGAGTGTGCATTAAATACATTTGCTGCTCTTGGGCTGGTTTCTGAAGTGTCCCAAGGCCACTGGAGAGTTTTATGCAGAAGGGAAGACTCAAAAATTTGGGTCAGGCTTGTTGCTGGTCCAGGCTCCACAGAACTCCCACTGCATTAAATCCTGTGCCTTGCAGCTCCTTCCTCTGGGATCCAAGTCTGCACTGCCCTGTTTGCACATCACTCACTGCACCAGGCCAGGAACAAGTTCAGGCTGGTGACAGAACAATTCAGGCTCCAAGCCCTGCTCAGACCCAGCCTAACAAGGATCAGGCTCTGCCCAAAAACCCAGCCAGCAAACAGCAGCCATTCCCAGTTATCCCCCAGGAAAAGTGCCCTTGTGGGAATAACCCAACCCAGAGACATCCAACTGGATCAGGAATTCCTCAGTCTTCCCAAGAGATCCCTGGGGCTGCTCTGTCACCTGCACCTAAAGCCAGGTACTGAAATGATTAATCAGGAACCAAAGCAGAGGGAACCCACCTCTACTCACCTTCTGAAGATGGGGAAGTGAAAGCAGCAGCTACCCTGGATCTTCACATCTGGTTATTTCCAGCTCTCCAGCTTCATCCCAACCTTTGGGTAACTCAATCCCCCAGAGCTGGGCTGAGATGGCACCTAAAAAACAAGTGAGATTTATTAAAATGTAGCAATTCAGGTAATTTTTATGATGTATTTTCATTCTATAGAGCTTCTCTCAGCTGCTTTAAATACACTTCAGTAAATTCACCCTGCAGGAAGAGATCACAGCAAGCAACTACACAGAGTTACAGGGAATTATTCTAATTTATAAACATTATTTATAAGGCGACTGAGAAACCTCAGGGACTTTACAAATGTTTATCCTGCTTCCTAACAACTCCTAATTTATATCACCACTAACACAAGTGATGGCAGCTCGCTCCCTGCCAGGCCTCCAGAGCAAGTGAGGCCCAAGGCCTGGAAAGGTTTCAGATTCCATGAGATCTTCAGGACCAAAAGATCTCTGATGAACCAGTGGCAATCTGGCACCTGCCTATATTTAAATAAAAGAGGACTTAAGAACCAAAAACCTGGGGGTCCCTTCCAGTACAGGGATGTTTTGTGAGCCTACTCTTCTAAACTTTCTGGTTTAGCCTCAAAAAGATCCCACTTAAAATATTCTGAGAGTTTAAAAAAGTCTGTTTTAAGAATGTTATTAAGAGGAGCTCAAACCCCGCTGGGATCCCGGTGAGCAGCAGCTGCACCAGCTCTGCATCCTGGAGAAACTGCTCCCAAATTTCATTCCCTTCATCCACTGACATCTAGTGGTGGTGGCACGGTGGCAGAACCTCCAGCTGCTCCAATTCCACTTCCCTTTGTGCCTTTCCCAAGACAGTTTCGCCTCCAACGATTTCCAAGAAGGTTGGAAGGACCTCAAAGCTCATCCCCTTCCACCCCCTGCCAGGGGCACCTTCCACTGGATCAGGCTGGTTAGAAATTAGGCAGAATTCCTGCATTTATGGGTTTTTTTCAGTAGATTTGCAAATGAGTTCCCTGCAATGACCAGACTGGAGCTGTTCACACTCCCATTGTTCTCCTGGGCTCGACTTCAGAGCTGATTTGCAGCCAATGCTTCACATACCACACCAACTGCTCCCCAGTTCCTCCCTGCTGGGATAAGAGCTGAGGGATTTCATCCCTTCTCCAGGCTTGCCCTTCAGCATTTCACAGCAGGCTGGACACACCTACGAGAAATGACAACCTGGAGTGAGAAAAGCAGCACCACTTGCACGACTAAGGATGACAAACCCTCCCGAGGATTAGGGGATTAAGCCCTGAGAAATTCATAATCCCTAAAGACAACCACAGCTGGAAAGAAATCACGTGTTTGACTAAATATCCTTTTTTCCCCCTAAGTCTTTACATGAAGCAACTTATTGTGGTTGATACACGGTGTTGTCACGTTAAAACACAAGTCCAGAGGAGGTGATGGAGCAATTCCTGCTCTGGAGCCAGGCTGGGAGAGCTGGGGGTGTTCACATGGAGAAGGATCCAAGGAGACCTGAGAGCCCCTTCCAGGGCCTAAAGGGGCTCCAGGAGAGCTGGAGAGGGACTGGAGACAAGGGGAGGACGGGACCAGGGGAATGGGTTTAAACTGAAAGAGAACAGGATTAGATGGGACACTGGGAAGGAATTCCTCCCTGGGAGGGTGGTGAGGGCTGGGATGGATTTCCCAGAGAAGCTGTGCCTGCCCCATCCCTGGAAGCGTCCAAGGGCATGTTGGAGCAACCTGGGACAGTGGAAGGTGTTCCCGGGGTGGAACTGGGTCTGTAAGGTCCCTCCCAACCCGAATCATTCCATGGTTCTCCATAGTTATTAATAAGCGATCTCGCCCCTCAGCCCCTCCAAAAATCTGCCCCGCCCGCCCCCCGCGCCAACATTTTGAGAGCAGAAAGCTCAATTAACGACAATTAACGATAATCCACCTCCCCCCGCGCGCGCCGCGGCCCCGCCCCAGCACCCGGGCCCGGAACAGGCCCGTCCCTGAGGGGAAGCGGCGGCAGGGCCGGGAACCCAACCGCTCCCCGCCCTCACCGCAGGGCCTTCCCCGCCCTCGCCCGGCCCCGGCAGCCCCGGCACTCACCGCCCTCCTCCGACCCTCGTCCCGCGGCCCCTCGGCCCGGCCCGGCCCGGCCCCGCCGCTCCGCCTGCCCGAACCCAACATGGCGCCCCCCGGCAACACCGCCCGCCCCGCGCCTCGCCGGCTTCACGCCCTCACTCAAAATGGCCGCCGCCACAGCGCCCCGCGCCAAGAGCGCCCGGCCCGGATCAAAGATGGCGGCGCGCGGCTTCACTGCCGGCGGCGTCACGGTGATGCTTTGCCCGGCTCCAAGATGGCTCGCGGTCACGTGACGAGGGGTGTGGGCCGCGTCCCGGCGGAAACGTGAGGGACCGAGCAGGGAACGGCAGCTGGAAGCGGCGGGAGCGGGGCTGGCGCCGCCGGAGCAGACGTGCCGCAGGGCGGGAGACACGGCTGTCACCACGGAGCCCGCGAGCGCTAACACGGCGGCGGCCACCGCCGCCTCGCGGGCCGCGGGCGCCGGGGACCAGGCGAGCTCACTGCCCCCGCCCAGGATGCAGCGCAGGAAGGTGAGCGCGGCCGGGGAGCGGGGGAGGCGGCTGGTGGGGGGTACCGACGAGCTTGGCCCGCAGCTTTCTACCCTTCCCCGACCCCTCCGCTGCCTCTCACGGGCACAAAACTGGGGGGAAAATAGCGGCCTTGAGCCCCCTGCGCCCGCCTCCCGCGCTCGTTGATTGGCTCCCGCACGGGCATGCCGCGCGCTGATTGGCCGCCTTGCCTGTCACTTATCGCCCCCAACGGCTACCGCTCCCCATCCCCTGCGCTGGCAGCGGGTTCCGCCCTTTGACGCTTCCGATTGGGCAGGCCGCCGTAGAGCTGATCGCGTATTGGTTGAACTGCAGTGCGGGGCTTGCCGCTGATTAGACTTCGCGGCTGTCAATCCGCCCCCAACGGTCACCTCCCCGCGCGTGCCCTGTCCCCCCTCCCATATCTAACTCCGCCCCCCCGGTTGATGTTGCCGTGGGAGCAAGCGTCGCGCTGATAGGCCGGCTCTGCCGTCAGTCACTCACGGCGGGCCCCGCCTTTTACGCTTCTTCGAGCCGCCATTGGCGGGTTCTCCCTTTCGCCCCTCCCACTCGCGCTGCGATTGGCTGAGGCTGGCAGGGCTCCGCTGGGTGCAAAACAAAGCGGCGCGGGGGCCGCGCTCCCGCCACCGCGCTCCCCCCCCTCCCCTCATGGCGGCCGCTCTCCTTCGGCTCCCCTCATAGCGCCCGCCATCGCCATCCCCTCACGGCTGTGCCCCCACACGAGTCCCGCCGGGGATCCCACCGTGCCCCGAACGACATTCTGGTTGTCCCCTCAGCGCGTCGTGGTTTAAACCCAGGTGGAAATTAAGCACCGCGCTGCCGCTCCCTCATCCCCCCCTCCCCTCAGTGTTTACCATCCAGCTTCTAGGTTCAGATAAAAACAATTTGATAATAAAAAACGAAGTAAAATATAATAATAGTGGTAAATAATAATAAAAAGGGGCAGCTGGAGGGGCAAGATGAGCTGGACACAGCACATGGAATAATCTGGGTTGGAAAGGACCCAGCAGGATCATCCAGCCCAGCTCCTGGCCCTGCCCAGGACACCCCAGCCCTTCCAGCTGAGGTGTCTGGGATGAGGTGGGAACCTTCCCCATGGGGGAAAAAATAGATCATGGAATCCCAGGTTGGAAAAGACCTCCAAGATCATCGAGTCCAACCTCTGACCCAACACCATCTTTTGCTTTCATAAAACCCGGCGCTCCCGTGACTTTTCCTTGGGGATCGGTTTGCAAGAAGCTTTTTATTTTTAAAGGCGCTTACACTGCATATTTATTAAACCAATACATTTTTAGTTGAATTTACCTATCTAACATCTCTTTCCATCCCTGGAAGTGTCCAAGGCCGGGTTGGAGCAGCCTGGGTTAGCTGAAGGTGTCCCAGCCCGTGGCAGAGGGGTGGGAGCAGATGAGCTTTAAGCTCCTTCCAACCCAAACCATCCCTCGATCCTGTGAAATATTTCCTGCCATGTCCGAGCTGAGGTGCTCCCTGCTGACGTGTGGGCTGTGCCGTTGCAGAGGAACGCGGGCAGCAGCTCGGATGGGACGGAGGACTCCGATTTTTCCACGGATCCCGAGCACACGGACAGCTCGGAGAGCGACGGCACGTCCCGGCGATCCGCCCGCGTGACACGGTCCTCGGCCAGGCTCAGCCAGAGCTCCCAAGGTAAAGGCTCTGCTTCAAAAACCCAAAAGAAATTCAGCCTCCTAACCAAAAAATAAAGGCTCAGTGCACTCTGTGTTGTTTAGAACCTAAACGTGTAGGATTTGAACATAAACAGGAATTTGTATTCATATTTTTGGCTGTTATTAGCACAGCAATAAGCTCCTTTACACGTACATATTGTACAGGTGGGGTTGTATAATCTAAAGGTGATGGAAACCAAAACATGAGCGTGCTCTGTTCAAAAGATAAAGCTGACAAATTGTTAAGGGAAGGAGGAGTCAAACCCCATAACTCCACTGCCAGCTCTGCCTCATTTTTCTGAGAACTCTAAAAATCTCCTTTCCATTCCTTTGGTGCTGGAGCCAAGCGAGGGAGAGGGGGTTTAGGGGTGCAAGTTGGGTTTATTTCCTTTATTTGTTTGTTTGGGGGGTTCTGTGCCCCAAGGGGAGATGTATTTTTGTGCTGTGCTGCCCCTGCTGTGCGATAGACACTACCAAATATTGGCAGTTATTTTGTGTGCTCCTACTTTGGCACCCAGGCTGTAAAAGGAGACATGGAATGAGTCCACCTCTTTTTTTTTTAGTGTTAGTGTGGGCAGTTTTTGGCTGTTAGTTCATGTGTTGCCATCTGGCGTGACGGGGAGGAAATGACAGCAGATAAAAACTCATTTCCATTGCTCCTTGTAGACACTTTGATTAAATATGGTTTGCAATTTTATTGCAGATAAGAAATACATGTGTGTGATCATGTATTAGATCTTAAAAAGGAGAGGGAAGGTGTGTGTGGAATGTCTGTGATATTCCTGGGTTAGGACAGCTTTATTTTAATGCAAAATAATTGTTTTATATATATTCCCTGCCCACTGCAGGGGTTGGAACTGGGGGAGCTTTAAGGTCCCTTCCAACCCCAACCATTCTATAATTCTTATGAGCAGTGTAGGATCACAAACCCACACACAAATCCAAATCCCAAATCAGCTACAAATCCAAATCAAATCCAGATCCCAAATCCAGGTCCACACTGGAAGCTTTTCCCAAGGCTTATCTAAACACTGATAATTCTTAACTAAACTAACGGATCTTCAGCTTTCCAAAGGGAGCTGCTTGATAATTACTGGTTAATTAAGTGATTAAGTCCTGAGAAAGCTGATGTAATTCCAGACTGCTCACTGTGGGTGAAATCCCAGAGATTTTATCTGGCAAGGCCAGAGCAGTGGTGAAAGTGGCAGGATAGAACTCTGCTCTTCCAGAGGTCTTCCTCCTCCTCCTCCTCCTCCTCTGGAGCAGGCTGTGGGGGCCAGGCAGGGTTTGGGGCCGGAGAGGGTGTGGGGCTGGGCAGGGTGTGGAGCCAGGCAGGCTGTAGGGCCGGGCAGGGTGTGGGGCCAGGCAGGGTTTGGGGCCAGGCAGGGTGTGGGGCCGGGCAGGGTGTGGGGCCGGGCAGGGTGTGGGGCCGGGCAGGGTTTGCCTCTCTGGGCAGTCCCTGCTGGCTGTGGGTGTAATTCCCCATCCCCTGGGTCAGACTCCAGCCCGGTGCGGAACCCGCCGCCGTTCGGGGCGGAGGAGCCGGTGTACTCGACGCGCAGGGTGACCCGCAGCCAGCAGCAGCCCGCCCCCGTCACCCCCAAGAAGTACCCGCTGCGCCAGACCCGCTCCTCCGGCTCCGAGACCGAGCAGGTGGTGGATTTCTCGGACAGAGGTGCGTGCCGGGGACAGCTCTGGGAAAAACCCTCCTCCGGGGCGTCCCCAGGGCCGGGAGTTGGAGCAGCTCTGGGCTCCGGGGGTGTCTTTCAAAGCCTTTCCCCGATTTGTGACATCCGTCTCCTTTGTTATCCCTGTCCTTCTCCAGACACTAAAAACGCAGCGGATCACGACGAGTCCCCGCCTCGCACTCCCACCGGGAACGCCCCTTCCTCGGAGTCGGACATCGACATCTCCAGCCCCAACGTGTCCCACGACGAGAGCATTGCCAAGGACATGTCCATGAAGGACTCTGGGAGCGACCTCTCCCACCGGCCCAAGCGCCGCCGCTTCCACGAGAGCTACAACTTCAACATGAAGTGTCCCACTCCTGGCTGTAACTCCTTAGGTAATTCCTGCCTGGAGTGTCCCACTCCTGGCTGTAACTCCTTAGGTAATTCCTGCCTGGAGTGTCCCACTCCTGGCTGTAACTCCTTAGGTAATTCCTGGTTGTAATTCCTTAGGTAATTCCAACACGAAATATCCCACTCCTGGTTTTGACTCTTCAGGTAATTCCAGCTCCAGGATCGATCTGTTGGACTTTGCATTCCTGCCGTGGTATTCCAAGTTGAGTTATACACCCTGAAAACCATGGAGTTAATTAGGAGCAGGAATATTAAGGAGAAGTGGGATATGAAGCCTAAATGCAGGTGTATCTGCAGGGCTATTCCTGGAGGTGTTTTCTGCCTAGGAGTGACAGGGAATGACAGATAAGGACCAAAATAGGAGGATGAGCCCAGGTGTGGGAGGAAAATGCAGAGTCTTGCAGGCAGGGAACTGATTTTTGCCAGAAATAGATTTCAGCCCCAAATTCCTGCTCCACCATACCTGGCTGCTTGCAGGGAGGGCAGCCTGAGAAAGATTTTCCTTCCTTTTGCCACAAAGCAGGAAGTTTGCTCCTTCCATCCCACTGAACCTGCTCATGTGGGGGATCTGGGAGAGCTTTGAAACCTCTTCTTGATTATTTCTTACGAGTTGGGTTGTTTTTGTGCCCCTCTGCAGGACACCTGACCGGGAAGCACGAGAGACACTTCTCCATCTCGGGGTGCCCACTGTACCACAACCTCTCAGCAGATGAGTGCAAGGTGAGTGTTTGGCCTTGTTTTACCTTCTGGGGGATTTGTAGGACAAAAATGCCAAGATTCAGAATTTTTGAACGGGAAACAGAGCTGACAGTGGACACAAAGGTGATGTCTTTGGCTGTGAGGCAGCAGCATTTGTGTGTCAAACCCAGTTCAGAACATTCACCTGGAAGAGGAGAGGGATGACAAGAGTTTGCTGCAGCAGTGACGGGTGAATTTTGGGTTCCAGGTGCGAGCCCAGAGCCGGGATAAGCAGATTGAGGAGCGGATGTTGGCCCACAGGCAGGATGACAACAACAGACACGCCACCAGGCACCAGGTAAAACTGGGAAAGCCTCAGCTCCCGCTTCCCAGGATCCGTGGGTTTAACCTGACCTCCCTTCTCCACATCTGTCAGCCGTTGTCACCTCCAGTGTGTTTCAGCAAAGGCAACTCCTTGTCCCCCTTCAGTGAGGAGCAGCCAGGGAGAGCAGCTCTGTCATACCAGAGGAGGCTGGAGCGTTCTCAGGAGGGGCTTTGATGTGCAGGACGAAAGAATTCCTGCAGAACTGTAAACTGCAATTTGACTCTGACTAAACAGAAAAGAACCAAACCAGGGGAATTACATTTTTCAGCTCCTAAGTGTTGGATTTGAGTCAAGATGAGTCAGCTCGG